ATAGGGGAGCACTGGGGGAGGGGCAGTAGGGGGAGCACTGGGGGAGGCAGGTGGGGTGAGTAGGGAAAGCCTTGGGGGAGCAGAACCAGGGGGTGGAGGGAGAAGGCAGAGAGTGGGGCGAGGCGTGTTGTTATAATGAATGGAAGCTGCCAGTGTCGCTGATTTCAGGGTTTCCCTGCACAGAAGGGGTCCCCATCTCTGGCACCGGGTGCCCCACACGCACCCCCATGCTGCGGGATGGAAGCTGCGTCCTGCCTAGCGCCCGACTGCTGTGGTGTTAGCGTGGGTGGTTGTCGTGGTGCAGACACTGTGAGGGCCGTGGTTGCCCCCAGCACCTAACAGTCCGGTTTGGTTCTCCAGCCACAGGCGCAGTGCTGACCCCCAGCAGCCGGCTAGAGCCGGAGCTCCGATGGGAAGCCTCTGGGTGTCTACATGGGCTGCCCAGGCCACTTCTGAGCGAGGGCCAACAATCAAAGCAGTAAGAACCTCAGTGCAGTTGTGGTTAGAGAAGTGGCAGGGTTGCAGGATCAGGGCCTAAATTGTTCGTGGCTGGTAAATCCAACAGGATTCTCCAAGACCAGAGGTAGAGAAATTGCTCTTTGGCTTATCAGTGGAGCCAATTTGAAGTGGAAGAACTGATCGGGACCCTGTAGTGTCATCTCGCCAGAGTTCATTTTCTGCCTCCTGCCTCGGTCCCTGGAGGAGAGAGATGCTCCTTAAGGCACTGCGGGGTGAGAGGGTGTTTGGTGAGCTGCGTCGGAACCAGGCCGGCGAATACCGACCATGCTGGCGCCTGTAGCTGGGGCGTGTCTCTTAGCACTGACCCCTTCCTCGGAATCAATCTGTGCCTGCAGGTTCCTGAACTGGAGAAGGCGACGGTCCACATGAAGAATCCTGAGCACGTGCAGCGCGTAATCTCGGCGCTCAGGAAAGAGGGAACAGACAAACTGCAGGTTCCTCTTTGTGTTCTGAGCTGCGCGGTCAGGAGTTTGCAGCCCGTTCCCGGGGGTGTATTTCAGCATTGCCATGGCAGTGTGGGGGGGGGGATAATAACGCCCCAAGTTTGTGTGGAACCCATCAGCTATTTACGGCACTTGTGTCGCCTCCATTTCCGTAGTATGTGAGTGCTTGCACCAAGGCCGTTCTCCTGACAGTGCCCGTGTGAGGTTGGGAGATGCTGTTCCCTCCATTGGACGTATGTGGAACACAGAGACCGAGTGACTTGTTGGGGAGGAGCAGGGAATGGAACCTGGTTCTCCTGAGTCCAGGCCGGCACCCTGACCACTGCCCCTCCTTTTGTGTTCAGCTGCTAGGGGCTCTCTCTAGACGAGCCAGTCTGCACAGCGCCCGCCCCTTGCCAGGAGGCAAATCACCAGGGCCCTTTTGTGCAGATTGGGAAACAGGCATGGGGGGGGTCCCAAGTCTTAAGAAGGCACCTGTGTCGAAGCTGGGAGTAGAACTGTGGCCCAGAATCTGCCTTCCTGCTCTTCTCTGGTGAATAGCCGCTCCTGCTGCAGGAGAAACGCAGGCCCTTGCTGCCCACCCCCTTCCCCGCGCACCTCTCACAGCACAGCATGCTGGGTCAGTTTCAGAGATTGGCCTTTTCTCCCCCTCCTTGTGTCCTTCAGGTCATTTCGGACTTCGACATGACTCTCAGCAGGTTTGGATTTAACGGGCGACGATGCCCCACGTCGCACAGTGAGTCGAACGAGCGCTATGTTCGTTAGTTTGGAGCTTCTGTTCCTCGCTCCTGTCTCCATCGTCGCTGTCTCACCTGCACCTTCCCCACCCGCACCCACAGGCTGTTGCTAAGCCCTGGCGTTTTCCTCCCCAACCATCTCTCTTGATACAGTCCCTTCTGCTGCCGAAACTCTGCTCCGCAGCTTGGCCCTCGCTCATACTGATTGCGCCTCCTCCCCCACCCCATCCAAAATGCCGCTGTGCAGATCACCATCCTATCTCATTGCTCCAACCCTTCACCCCACCCCCACAGCCCCCTTCTCTGCTTTCTCCTCCCCTTCCCTGTTAAGTGCCGGCCTTTTTCCTCCCCTTCCGGGCTAGGCCTGACTGTGCCCCAGCCTCCACGTCTGCTCCTACGGCACCTCCCTGGCTCTTTACTCACCGCTGCATCCTTTCCACCACTTTCCTTCCTACCACCCACTGTGCTCAGAGCCCCCGCCCAAGCCCCTTCTTCCCTCAACTCCCTCTCTCCAGGCTGGTCTACACAAAAACTTAAACCTGGGGGATAAAGTAAATCTACCCTGCACTAGTTTGCTGCGCTCTAAGTGTCTGTGTTGACCCTGCTGCTACGCACAAAAAGTTCCCTGGTGCACTTTGATCTATTCCTCCTTCGGAGAGAGATGCCCTAACGGGTCCTGGTTTTCAGGAAATGCTGAGCACCCACTCTCTGAAAGGGAGGCGCCTGTCAAACGTCTCAAGTTGGCATCCAAAAATTGTGGCACCCAAAATCACTTGTCATTTTTTGCAAGTGTTGACTCTGGTCTTTCTGGGGGATTTGGAAAGGGCCCGCGTGTGTTTTCCCGGGGTTGGGTAAGTGGCTGTTTATGTCTTTCCAGATATCCTAGATAACAGCCGAGTCATTAGCGAAGAAGGCAGGAAAAAGGTACGTTTAGTGCTATCAGACTCCATCTCTTTTGGCTCTATGTACAGTCCAGTCTGCTGCTCACACGCTGCTTCTCCTGCTAGGGGTAGTAGAGACGGTTCAAACGCAGCCCTGGGACAGATGTGACCCCCTGCCAGCAAAGAGAACAGAACAAGTTTCCAGGCAGCATTTCAGATATGGGAGCACTTGTCGGAGTTCAAGGGAATTTTTACAAACCTGTCACCACACCCAAGCATGGGCATTTCATGTCAAAGAGAACAGTGATAAATAGTGAGCAAAGGACATTAATCTCTGTCTAGAACAATTTAATCTTGCTGACACTCAGCTTGATTTCTAGAGCAGTTATTAAATATTTCCCTTGGGACCCCGTGAAATTGCCACGACACTCAGTTGTTTCATGAACAATTTAGGGTTTTATTTTTAAGCTGTGATGCATTTGTGAATTCTGCAAATACTCTACTTGCTGGTTGTTAAATCTCTTTTTCGACATCCTTAACTGTTCATTGCATTTTTTGTTTAAACCCATCAAACGTTCTAGTTAAAAGATCTACTGCACTATTACTATCCAATTGAAATTGACCCCAACCGGACCATGGAAGAAAAACGTCCCCTCATGGTGGAATGGTGAGTGACTGTGTCTGAGGGCTAATTTCGTGAGCTAGAAAATAAGTGGGTAAACAAGAAGAGAGAGAGGAATTCAGTCCCCTGATCCCCTTGCGTAGCAGAACTCACTGTGCAGCAGAAGTACAGTTTATTGATAGTCCATCTTCCCGTTTCTCCAAGTGCATGAAGCGTCCTTTCTGGTAATATGGCCAGGATTGAGCCTGGTAGATCCCGTTACAGAATGGCAGTGCTGTGGACAAAAAGCAAAGGCAAGGAGCACATGGAGAGGGAGGAGCAGGTTTGTCTCTGTTGTATTGTTAACTCTGATGCAAACTGCCTTAGCATGTGGCAGTCGCAGTGCCATCGTGATCTGACTTCATGAGATCTCAGTGGATTTGTTGGCTCCAGAAGATTTGTGTAGACTTGCAGCTCTGGAAGTAACGTTCCTGATAAGAAAAGGATGCAAAGTCACTTAGAAAAGAGGGAGAGTAGGTCCCCTTTGAGAGCAGGATATGGAAGCGACAGACGGCTCTTTGAATATGCAGCCGTCAGAAGTGAGCCTGTGACTTTTGTGCCTGAGAAGGAAACACCAGTTACTTCCTTTTTCTTTTCTTACTTGTAGGTTTCATTATTCCCCACCCAAGCGATGGTGCATCTAGCACAGCTGTACTTTCGCTGCCCCGCTCTCACACCCTCCACGAAAGGGATCCCAAAGGGCCTGGTATTTTGGGCTGGGTTATTTTCCAGCTCTGGTAATCAGTCCCTGGTAATAGATCAACAGTGACTGCATTGAGGAGTGCTGGAGAAAAAACAGGGCAAATCGGACATTTGTGTTGGGTGCCCAGATACCCTGGTGGTGGACATAATAAAATGCATCGATTAAGTAAGTGCTACCAGCCTGCCTCAGGCAGCCTCTTACCCATAATGAGCCTTATATGTGAAGCAGAGAGAAAGTTGAAACTCTCTTTAAACAACAATTAGTCTGACGGGCGGTCTCTTGGTCATGGCTCCGGTAATTTCCCCTAGGTCAGATCCTAGAAGCTCACAGTCTGTCAGAAATGAAGCTCACTTTGGTATGTGTTTCCAGGTGGACCAGAGCCCATGACCTCTTGTTGCAACAGAAGATTTTGAAAAGTGACATAGCCAAGATCGTCAGAGAATCCGAGGTGATGCTCAGGTAGGGGTTTGGGGTGGTCTCTGCAGCTTGTGTCCCCTCTCTCCCTTCCCGGTGAGAGCACAGACCGCGAGGGCTCTGTCGCGCTCTCTCTCGATTTCTGGCACCTGCTCATTCCATTCAGAGCCTGGGTTTGTCAGAGAGAGAAAAAGGGAGGCACTGAACTGACTTCTGAGAACTCTAATCCACCTCCGAGTTGCTTTCTTACCCTTTCCAGACATGGCACATAAGGGGCAGCAGGCCAGACCGTACCCCCGTCACAAACAAGTCTCAAAATGCAACAACACAAACGCCAACCTAAGCCTTTTCCGCATACTTGGCTGCTCCTAGGGTTCCTCCCCAAGAACTGCTCAGCCCACCTGTGAGGTCCACTCCCACCTCCCGTAAATCCAGGTGGGGTAGCAAGCCCCTTGCATCAGTGAGTCGGCAGAGCCAACTTAACATAACCTGTCAGGATCATCAGTGACTAAGAGGCTGGGTTTTGTGGGCAAACGCTGCCAATCTGTTACAGATAAGATTTTTCTCTCTCTGTGAACTGCCTGGAAAAGTCAAAAGTGACAAAACCCAGCAGCTTTTTGTGTGGCACAGACACCACGTGTGTTCAACCCACAGGAGCAGCTGAGAGTCTGCCCAGCAGGTGGCATTTGTGTTCGATTAGTGATATTTATTCTGGTGCAAAGAAAGCCGGAGCTTCTGTCTCTGATCTCAGTAGGGAACTGCATTCCATGGGGAAAAACCTCTTGCTCGTTTGTACTGCGCCCAATCTGTTGTGATTACCATATTGTGGTAGCGCGTGGAGGTCCAAGGGGGGATCAGGACCCCGTTGTGCTAGGGGCTGCACATGCGCAACGAGTAATAAGATGTTCCCTGTGCCAAGAACCTACAACCTAAGAGCCCACAGGTGGCTGCAACAGAGACAACACATGGTCTGATCAGTGTGACCACCAGCTGCCTGGCCAGTGTTGCATCCAGAGCTTTGTTCCCTGGAAGTCACTCTCTTACAGCCTATGGGGAAGCCAAGGACCATATTTCCTGTAGGTAATTTGCGTTTGGGAGAAATAGCGTGGGATGAGTGTTACCCCCCGTCCACTGAGAGCACTAGCTGGGTGTACATCTGTGCAATAGATTTAACAAGCATCATCTTTCCTGGGAGCTTTGCTGCCTAAGGATTAAATTCCTTTTTCTAGACCAGCTGAGCTGTGTGGTCACGGATTCCATGGGGGAAGGGCAGTGATTATTCCAGTATCTATACTTCTGGCAGTAGAAGGCTGCATAGTCCAGGGACCTGAGGTCAGGAACTCTTGGGCTCTGATGCCAGCTCTAACGCTGCCTTCCCCTGTGACCTCGGACGAGCCATGTCCCCTCTGGGCCTCGGTTTCCACAGCTGCTGAAGTATTAGTCAGCGTTTCTAGACCAGAAAGCCAACAGTGTACCAATGGGCTCTGCAGTCTAGCAGAGGCGGGTCTAACACAATTCAGGGGCTGGAAGTTGAAGCGAGACAAATTCGGACTGGAAATCAAGTGTCAGATTTTAAGAGTGAGTCATTCCATTGGGATAATGTACCCAGGGTCGTGGGGGCGTCTCCAGCACTGACCGTTTGGAAATCGAGATGGGGGGCAAGTTCTCTGGCCTGTGTTACACACGTCAGACTAGAGCATCACATGACCTGGCCTTGGAATCGATGAAAAACCGGTGACTGAAATCCAGCCTATAATGCCCGGGGAGCAACCCCTGCCTAGGCTGTTGGTGCGACCGAGGAAGAAGTCATGTGCAGAGGATGCATCCCAGGTTTTACATGGAGCCCGACGCACTTTGGGACAGGGTTCAGGGAGTTACGTGCATACCATAGAGGGTGAAATTCACCCCACACCAGGCCCATCCACTGTTAAGTCCCTGTAGATAAGGCGGGGCCCTTTGGGGCAGGCTTGAATTTCACCCACAGTGCAGAAACGATCGATAAAGTTTGTCGTTTATGCACCTTGCCACCAGAGCCAGGATTTAAGGAACACCCTGGTGCCTTGGGGCATGTAGCAATCCCTGCCCAACGAGTTTCCAGTCTCCAGTGGGGATGAAAGCACTTGCAGCACCGTGGTAGTGCGACGCACTTGTGCTCTGGGGTGAAGGATGCTGTTGTGACTCTGTCTAACGGGCATTCCCCCCTCCTCCCTCAGGGACAGAGTCAACACCTTCTTTGACCAACTCCACCAGCACAACATTCCCCTGTTCATCTTCTCGGCCGGTGTGGGCGACGTCCTGGAGGAGGTCCTCCGGCAGGCCAAGGTGTTCCACCCAAACATCAACGTGGTGTCCAACTACATGGACTTCGATGACAAGGTGCGCTGCGCGACGTGCCCCGTGGTTGGGTCACGTTAGACCTGAGTGTGAGGCAGGGGACATTCAGAGAGGGTGCCGTTCGATTAAAACCCATCTGTCCATTGGAAATGTCATCCCTTGTTACCATAGCAACCTTTCCAGTTATTAGTGCTGAAATGGCTTTGAATGCGAATACGCCTATATTAGCTGTATTAGGGTAGCCAGACTAGGGCGCCATGTGTAAAGACAGTCAGAGAGAGCCTGGCCGGCAGAAAGCTCACACCCTAAATTCACAAGGCTGGGGAAAAGTTATGCAATATACAAGGATCTACTTGGCTCTTCTCCTTTCTATGTTGCACTCGGCAGGAGTGGGCTGCTACTCTTCGCTTTGTTTCAAGTCACTTTCACGCTCTGGTTTGCCTAGGCCCGTGATACCGTGTTTGGGGGGGGCGGGGGCAGCGCTGCGGGAGGATGGGCGTTGACTTACCATAATTATCCTTAAAACCTATGAAACCCCCGGAAACTGCCCACTAAGTTGGGCCTGATTCCCAGTGGCTCCCTTGGGGTGGACATGGGGGCATGTAGGGGTTTAGGAGATTTTAGCCACCTAGGGGCTCCCTGGACTGTGAGCCACCCAGGGGCCTTGGGGCTGCTCTGACTTACGCTTTGCTTCCTGTCGCCCCCTATGGAGCCAGGGAAGCAGAGAATAGCCACGTTCGCTGCTCCCCAGCCTGGCCCCCGTTACGTCCCTGATCTGCCCCTGACACCAGGGCCACTGCAGAGCTTTTGCATCAATTCTGCACTGCCCGGGGAAGGCCTTCTGCACAAGGCAGATTCCACCCAGTTAAAGGCCCCTTTATGCTGCCAGAATGGGGCCTGAGTGGCTGAGAGTTAGGCCCTTGGGCCCTTGCTCCCCTGGTGGCCTGGGAGCCCTTTGGAGGGGCGGGAGATGCCACCTCTGGGTGGTGCTGAAGGGCTCTGGTCCTGTGTGCAGCCCTCCCGTGAAGGGGCGGGTTGCTCTGGAGCAGGGCCCTTGGGCAGCGTGGGACAGTAGGTTTCCCAGCAGGCTCCGCTAAGAGCATCTCTAAGAAAGGTTCAAGTCAGGCTGAAGTTTTGTTCCTTCAGCCCCGAGACACCCCAGAAATCATCCTGTCCGTCCGTCCTTTGCTGCACAGGGCGTCCTGAGACAATTTAAAGAGCCGCTGATCCACACCTACAACAAGAACAATGCAGTCCTGGAGAAGACGGAACATTTCCAGCTGCTGAGCAGCCGGTCCAACATCATCCTGCTGGGGGACTCCATGGGAGACCTGAGCATGGCAGACGGGGTCGCCAACGTGGAGAACATCCTCACAATCGGATTCCTGAACGACAAGGTGAGCGCGAGGGCAGAGGCTGTCTGCCCTCCGAGCGTTCGCAGGGGAGTGGCGGGGGTGCGGGTGGGAGGTGCCTATGTGCTGCAAGAGCAGTCTGCTATCTGGCATGCTGTATGAAATGAGTTTGGTGGGTCTCAGTCCAGTCCAGGTGGGGAAGGTGTCCACATCACACCTGACCCCCTTGTTCGCCCCTCAGCTGAGCTGGATGGGTCATCCCTCCGTGGCCGGGTGGGGCTCCTGTGCCGGGTTGCAGAGGGGAGAGCTTGCCATGCTGCGCCCCATGCCCTGGAGATGCTGTCTCTAGGGCTGTTGATGGGGTACCTTTCACCAGCCCTGAATCCCCCGCGCTGCTTTCATGGGGCTCCTGGAGTTCTGAGCTTGGCAACCGGCCGCGCTCATTCCCAGCTGCTAATGTTGCCGTCCTGTCCTGTCCCCTCGCCCCACGGCGGCTCTGCAGGTGGACGAGCAACGAGGAAAGTACCGGGACGCCTATGACATTGTGCTGGAGAAGGACGAGACTCTGGATGTGGTCAACGGGATCCTTTGTTACATCCTTGGAGACCTGAACTGAGAGCCCAGGATCCTGACTCTGGCCTCTCAGGATGGTGTCTTGGGACCGTGCTTCCCATGGCAGAGTCAGGGCGATTTGAATCCATCTTGATGCCCTCGGGAGTTCCCCCCACCCCACCCCCCCGGCTCCCTCCTGGGCTTTTATAAATACCCTTTTGTTCGTCACTCCTGGGATTGAGGGGTGAGCTGGAGAAACTCTCTGCTTGCCCCAACTACCTCCACCATGTCTCTGCTCAAACCCCAGCCGGCGCTGCTCCCGGCTCGTGTCCCATCCCACGAAAGCTCAAAGCCACCAAGGCAGGGTCGTCGTTTGGCTAGCCAGGCCGTCAGCCAAACGACCCAGAATTAAAGATGCCTTGCAGAGCTGGGGACCCACGTGTTTAAATGGGTTCGTTCTGCCGCCCTAATCGCCTCTGTCGGGGAGCAGGCACCTGTTTGTTGTAGGTCCATCACAAAGCGTTCAGGCCGGACTCCGGCTGCGTGGTTCAGCTGCATAGCAGAATTACAGCTTGCCCTGTGCTGGGGGGCGTAGGGGTCTGCAATTTGCTGTGGAAACCCTACAAATCCCCTGGTCAGTTCTCTGCTCCCTCTGCCTGCAACCTACTGGGACGTTTGTGGGCGTCACTGCCCCCTGGTGGCCAGAGAGGGGACCAGAGATGATTTTAGAGGGCGTAAGCCCCACCCCTGTCTGTGCACCGACCTGTTGTGGGTGGAGCCTGGAGCTGCTCAGACAGCATGGTGGGCGCAGGTGGGAAATCCGGGTTGGGGGACGTTCTGGCTGCCTGGGATTGTCGCTTGGAACATTAACACTTTGGGTTTGTGAGATGATTGTGCAGATGCCGTGATGCTTAAAGGGGTGGGACTCTTGTGAGGATTCCTGTCCGAGAGCTGCTTGTGTGATGAACGCAAGGGCTGAGTTTGGTCATCCCGCGGTGGAGCAGGGTTTGCTTGGCTGCTGTGTTTTGCTGGCAGAAGGACGGGGTTGTGGTGTGCAGTGAATCCCACTGGCAAGCGGCTCTCGCTGGAGCAACGAGGCTCCGCTGGCCAGTCACGCGGTGCTGTGGAGTGGAGTTGTTACAGCTGAAAAGTCAGGCAGCAGGTTTGTCATGTGTGGACGGGGGTGTTGGGGGGGACGCAGTGGCAGCCGTGGGTCCTCGGGGTGGGTAGTTTAAAGGCGGCTGGGACGGAGGGAGGGCAGACTAGTTGTGTGTGGCGTTTTGAAGCGTGACTATTGTATAACTCACCTTTTGTGCCGGGTCTGGGGTCTCCGGGCAGCACGTCTGTCAGCAATGTAAACTCTCTCTCCCTCAGATACAAAAAAATGGAAAAGAAAAGCAGCCCCTCTGGGCCCCGTCTGCTGGGATCCCTTCCGGGCAGGACAGTCACACTGGCCTGAAAGAGGGGCTGAGGCTAAGCAGGCGTTTTGGGTCCCCCATGTGCCCATGGAAGGGCCGGCTTTACTTGCTTTACCGCGCAGAAAGCTTCCTTTAAGGATCGGCATTTCCAAAGGAGCAGGAACCCCATGTCCCTCATGCCGAGTTCAGCCCTCTGGCCTGGGTACGTGAGAACTGCCTACCGTGGCAATCCGGGCTCTGCCTCGGTGGCATTTAACTCATCCTAGGGGGACCCAGACTCCTGTACTCGGCAGCTGGATGGGGGACAGACAGCTGCTTATCGACTGGGCTTGGCCTGCGTGCTGCGAACCATCGGAGAGTGCAGATGGCTCTTTCAGAGCTCCCTGTCCCGCCCTGTAAAACTCCATCTCCTTTCACGCTGCTCCTGTCGGGGAGAGCCAGAGGCTCGCGTTACATTACAGGTCTCCTCTGCGGGTGGAAGGGACCTCGGTTCCTGCCGTGCAAATTGTTCCTAGTCCTGTTCCTGGCGAGGTGCCGTCCACGTGGCTGTCTCGCTGTGACCCAGCCTGGCATTAGCAACCCAGGCCCCTGCATTGTTTGGGAAGCGAAGACACTTGTCATTTGCCTTGTAGGAGCTGGGCTGGTCCAGGTTCACAGGCAGCCATTTGGCTCGCTCGAATGTCACTTGTGAGGGGGGGCAGGTTTTATTCCGTTTGTTGAAATAAATACATTAGATAAAGCTGGCGTGTGAGTGGTTTGTGAGCTCGCAGTACAGCACTGCCTGGGGTGCCCGCCGAGGCATACAGAACTTCCAAAGGTGGGTGAGCTAGTTAGCCTCATGTTCCAAATGGGGAAACCGAGGAACAGGAAGTCGAAGAGTCACAACTAGCGAAGGAAATCGCATCTCCTGACTCGCTGCTCTAACCCCTAAGCTTGCGCTGCTTCTGTATCTGAGAGATTCCAAGGGGAAACGCAAAGACCTGCGTCACTGCAGAGATGGCTAACCCAGCATCCTGTTCCTGGCTGCTTCAGAGCAGGGTGCAAGAGAACCTGCAGGGGGCAACTTTCTGACCCCCCCAGTGACCAGCACCTCTCCCCACTAGGCAGCCAGGGGCCAGCCAGTCTTCCCGAGGGCTTTGAGGTTGGAACAGCCTCAGCTAAAAATCTTTACAATGTTTTTAGCCCTTCCTCTGAAACTGGGGGTGTCTGCGGCCAGGCGGGAGCCTCTGAAGGAGACGAAGCTTTTTCCAACCCAGTGCTGCAGATGCAAGAAGCTTGGATGGGGGCTTATCCAGCCAGACCCTCCACAGCTCCCCCCACCGGGACAGCGAACACAGACCTGCGTGTGGGGACCTCTCTTCGTGCGGACAAGCGCAAGCAACGGTTCATCCCAAAATAAAGTGCCAGGAAGCAGAGTTGTTGGAAACCACTTTAAATCAGTTTATTGGGTGCAAGGCAGAAATTGCTATTGGGGGGTTGTTTGAACCTTTACATCATCTTGTCCTTGCACTTCTGATCTTTTATCCTTGCCCAGCAGTTGGCTCTCGCAGACACTCGTCGGCTGAGCCGTGATCTTGGGACACAAACCTTTAAAACCGGAGACACTGGCCAAAATTTGCAAACGTGGGAGACTAAAGTGAGGCTCCTGAATTATATTTAAGCATCTCAGTAACAGTGGGCTGAGTTCCAGCTCTCATCAGCGTCTGGAATCCGGGTGCTCAGAAACTGAAAATCAACCCACTTGTGTTAGCCCAGCTGGGAGGGTTTGGGCCCTGGATTTTCCAAACTGACTGGTGGTTTTGGGGGCCGAACTGTGTAAAATCAGGCCCCTTCAAGGTGTCTCAAGTTCAAGCCCCAAAATACCAATGGGCCTAACACCACTCATCACTTTGAAGAACTGGGTCTGGGCTTTCCTTTCTGGTACAATTCAAGCTGTTGCAAGAGCCTGGACCAGGGATAGGAAATGGCATTACATAGAGATATTTTTAAATCCCTTGGGAACAGTGACTGGGTTCCTTACAGGAAAAGCTCCAGCAGATGCCAATTCATGCCCCTTGCTCCAGCGGCAGCGGGATGCCCTCGCTGGCTCACGTTCTGCACTCTGGGTACGCGCTGGGAGGTGTCCTGGCAGCGACAGCCCCGGTCTGCACAAGAGCAGCGCTGCTGAAATGCTCAAAGAGCCGAGGCGAGCAAAGGGCCGGGTCTGACGTGGGGTTACAGGCAGGGCTCTCAGCTAGACGGGGGGATGCCATCAACTTCCAGGAATCCCAGCCCCAACCCCAAACCCCACGTCACTGGAGAGAGCAGATGGGGGGATGGGTGCACCTGGGATTCATCCAGTTCTGGGCTGGGGCAGGGGAGTTAATCTGTGTCCACAACCAGGTCCACCGCAGCAGCCCCCACCCCGTCAGAGGCAGGCAACGTTTTGGAGAAGCATCCGGCACTGGGAGCAGGCAGGCTGGGTGGGCCTGTCTCTGCAGGGGACAAAGGCAGAGCGCAAAGCCAGGGATTAAATCACTCAAAGCCCAGAGAAGAAAAGTCTCTGGGTTCTGGTCTCAAAGCAGCTGGATACAATTCCAGGGTAGTTTGGGAAGGGGTGTCAATTACCCCTGTGTAGCCCCTGGAGCCTTCAGGCCCGGAGTGTGGGTGGAAGTGCTAGGAAATAGCTCACGGTTGGGTCTAGTTTCTAGGCCAGGGGTGGGCAAACTTTTTGGCCTGAAAGCCACATCTGGGTATAAAAATTGTATGGCAGGCCATGAATGCTCACAAAATTGGGGGTTGGGGTGTGGGTTCTGGGGTGGGGAAGAGGGATTGGGGGTGCAGGAGGTTGCTCTGGGCTGGGACTGAGGGGTTCGGAGGGCGGGAAGGGGATCAGGGCTGGGGCAGGGGATTGGGGTGCAGGAGGGGGTCAGAGTGCAGCCTCCGAGCAGCGCTTGCCTCAAGCAGCTCCTGGAAGCAGCGGCATGTCCCCCCTCTGGCTCCTAGGCGGAGGTGCGGCCAGGCAGCTCTGTGTGCTGCCCCGTCCGCAGGCGCCGCCCCTGCAGCTCCCATTGGCTGCGGTTCCCGGCCAATCGGCACTGCGGGGGCCGTGATTGGGGCGGGGGCAGCATGTGGAGCGGGGCCCCCTGGCTGCCCCTACATGTAGGAGCCGGAGGGGGGGACATGCTGTTGCTTCCGGGAGCCGTGCGGAGCGGGGCACACCCCTGACCCCGCTCCCTGGCTGGAGCGGGAGCTCGAAGGCTGGATTAAAACATCTGAAGGGCCGGATGCGGCCCCTGGGCCATAGTTTGCCCACCCCTGTTCTAGGCTCTGCCTTTAAAGGCAAGAATTTGGGACCCTCGGGCCTGGGTTTGTTATGTGGAATTTTTCCCCTGCTGGCTTGTTAGAAACACTTCCAATAAAACACTATTAAATAGTAAAAAAAACAACAACCAAACAACCTCGCTCTGCAAAGGGGTTGGCACTAAAGTTTCCTGAGCTGGCTTCTCTAGGGCACAGTCCCTGTGGTGGTGGGGGGAGCAGCCCACTCCAAGGTAGGAAAGGACAAGAAGAAAAGTTGTCTCTTGAAGGCAAGAGCTCCTCAGAGCTCCTCATGGATTCTCTCCTGATCTTCGTCCGATTTCAGCTTCAGCTCCTCCGCGGTGATTTTCCCATCCTGGTTCCGGTCCTGGTTCTGAAACATGTCGGTGATGACGGTCTCCGCGTCGGAGCTGGGCATGAGCCGCCCCTTCCCCTCGGTGAGCTGGGCCTTGATGAAAGTGGAGAACTGCAGCAGGGAGAGGTGAGAACAGCTTACGTGGCTGGGCCCGTGAGGGATCCCAGGACAGCATGCAGCCAGCTCTGGGGTGGAGGGCAATGGCCGGACAGGGCTAGATGCCGCAGGATAACAAGGGCAGGGAGCAGCCCAGTGCCAGGCTGCAGGAGGCTCCCTCCAGGTTCCCTGTTCTGTGATGCTCTCAAAGCTTTCTGGGCACACGCCCTCCCCGCCCCCCGCCTCTCCTTCTCAGCCTACAGCCAGACCCAATTCAAGCTGCTGTGCTAACTGGCCTGGCCTTGTGGCACAGAGGGATGTTGCTGCCTGGCTGGGCCCCTGGACAGGGGGGTCGCTCAGAGTCCGTCCCTGGCCCCTGACCCGGCAGGAGGGCTGGGCTAGGGCAGAATCCCTGGTACGGCCACCTTAACAACCAAAGTGTGCGCGTTAGTCACAGCTTTGCAGCCGCTCCGGGTACTCGGCACACGCGCCGGATGCCAGCTGGGCACCGTGAGCCTAGCCGGCCCCTCCCTTCGCCATTGAAAAGCCCAAGCTCAGCGGATCACGGGATCCGAGACTGCTTCTAGGGCCGTGTTCCCTGATTCCGATTCCTCCCCCCATGTGCCCGGAGCTTCGGCCGCACCTCTTCGGGGGGGATCTCGCCATCCTTGTTCAGGTCCATGTCCTCGTACAGGTTTGCGGGTGGGTCCCCGTGCCAGATAAACAGGTAGCCTTCTGGGACTCCTTCCTCCCTGGAGAGCAGCTCCACCTCGAACCGGAGCACAGCACTGCCTGGCACGCCCCGGGCTGAAAGGCAAGGGGTGCATGTCACCGATCCCTCGTGTGCTCTGATGCACTATGGTGCCTTTGCACCATGGTGCGACGTGCGAGAATGAGCTCTGAACATCCCCGCTGGGGCGACTTGCCCAGGCTGGGTCAGCTGGGGGGGTTAAAGGCCAAAGGAGACCAGGTAACATCCTGGGCCGCTGCCAGACCACTGGGGCCACAAACCAACCCACCAGGCAGTTCCCCTCCCCCCCCTCACCTCCGTTCTCTCCATGCCCCAGGTGCGGGGGGATGACGATCACCCGTTTCTCCCCCACGCACATGTTCAGCAGGCCCGTGTTCAGGCCGTCGATCACCTTGCTGGTCCCCAGCGTCGCCTCCTGCGGGTGGTTGTAGTCGTGGCTGCAGGAGGCAATGCAGACATTGGATGGGCGAGAGGACTTCCCGAGCCGGGGCTGCCCACACAGCCTCCTACCCTCAGGAACCTGCCTCGGGCCTCCCCCGACCTTGTACCAATCAGCGGTGGCAGGGGAATTCTGCCTGAGGGTCAGAGGAATTGCTAGTGCCCATGATCTTACCCCAGTCTCCCTGAGTTCAGCCACCTCCATCCTGCTGAGCTTCGCAGGGCCCCACCCCACAGCTGTTAGCACTAACCCACGAGCAGCACCCGGACTGCTGGGATGGAGCTGGGGAGGGGGATCCAGGCTGCCCCGGGGGGCGGGCGGGGGCACACTCACGAGGAGAAGAGCTTGGTGCCATCCAGCAGCGAGCAGTTGTAGTGGTAGCGGACGTAGTCGCGATCCTGGGTGGTGACGTTGCAGCCCTCGGGCCGGGAGAGGGTCTCGATTTCCACCGAGTCCAGGGGGTTGTGGAAGTCGATGACGTGGATGTCGAAGATAAGCACGGCTGAGCCGGGGATCTTGTTCCCTGGAGGAGAAGGACGAAGGGCCCTGTGGGGATGAGGGGCTGGGGAGAGGGCAGAGCCGGGGGGAAAGCCCTGCCGAGCCGGGGGCCAGCGCAGGTTTGTTCCTACAGTCCAGTCCCCTGGGCGCTAATTGAATGTGTCCCTGCCCGCCCCAGCCCGAGAGACACCCCCCTGAGCCAACGGCCCCGCCTGACAACCCCGCCACTGAT